TATTTGGGTATAAAATTTCTGGGGTTACACTTTCTTACTTTGAGAACTTCATAAAAGGTTTTCGGTTGTTCTTTTTAAGCTAGTTTCTGTGTAATTTTTCCCCCTGGGAAATCATGTTCCCTCTCAAGGTGTAGATTCAAGCCTTCTTTTATGTCTGGACACTTTTCTTTAATTATAACATTAAAATACATGCTCTGTTTTTTCATTTTGGTTCTATTTTCTAGAGATATCAGTTAAAAATATGCTGGATCGCTAGTGGCCATTATTCACATCTATCACATTCTCTGGAGCCACTCTGGACTCTCAGTGCACGTGTATACTTTTGTCACTCTTGTCCTTCTATATATTCCTTCAAATGTGGGTTTAATTTCTCAGATGGCTTTACTTTTTCCTTTTTTTGTAAGCTGTGCCAGCTTATATCCCATTGCTTTCTATTGTGTTCCCTATTTTCATTGAACTATTACATCTGTTTTAAGCTATTGTTTTATAGACAAGTATTTTATTTATTTAATTATTATTTATTATTATTACAATGAGCTTGATCAGAATTACCATCAGCTACACGAAAACTGTTTTTTTTTTTTCCTGGTGAGTGTCCTTCCCCTATCATTTGTTTTCCTTTTCTTTTCTTTTTTCCCCTCAGGGTATATGGGTATAAATTATATTTTCATATCTTTTTGATAATACTAATCTTTGCTTGAGGTGAGATTTTCCTGGATCAGCTATTTGCTAGAAGTTTGGGGTTTGGGGTGTCTAGGACCATGTGCCAGGCTATAGGCATTCTTACTTCAGAGGTGTGTGTGTGTGTGTGTGTGTGTGTGTGTGTGTGTACAAGAGGAGACAAACAGGTTTCTTTTAGCTTTTACTTATTGGGCAAGATAAACCAGCATTTTTGCAATTGTTTACATATATGGCTTGTTTGGGTAACTCCCTCATTAGTCTTGGCTACTGTGCATCATGTCTCTGCTAAATGGAATATGTCTACAGTCAGACTATATGTTCATTCCAATTGTTTCAATAAGAGACTGTTGGTTTTGACCCTTAGGACAGTCACATTTTATCCAACCAGTTCCGTCTGACATTTGCAGCTAAAGCATCCTTTCTCAGTCGCTGCACATTCCTGTTTGACTTTCCCTGCTATCGCCATCCTTTTCTCATAAACTGTGATGCAGGGTAACCAATTTTCCTAGTTTCATCACAGATGAAATTCATGACTCTATTTCTTATTTCCCTATTTTCTTTTAAGCGATTCTGAGGGGGGATTGATGGGAACGGTCTTAGCATTTTAATCTGATGTCTTCATATTCTCTGCATTGCACCATGGTAATTCAAGGAGACGGGACTGCTGCACAGTGCTATGAATTCCTTCATTCTACCACCATCCTACCTTTGACCTGGTAGATTACCCTTGATAACCAAGTCTAGTGGCCCAGCTCACTGGGCATTCCTCACTGTCTGCACTGGCTCCTGCAAAATACAAATAAAAAGATACCGGTTGATTCCCAAAACTCCTACTAAAACTGATTGTCCAACTGAAATGTACTACAATGAATAACATGCAAAAAAAGTCCCATGGCTTGACTCTTGGAAATATGTTGAAATGGCCCATACGCTGTCATATTATCAATACTTTTGGTTATTCCTCTAAAGCCAATCCCACTTTAAACAGCAAAACTTTATTTTCCATAAATTATATCCAAAGAAGACAGTACGATAAAATGGAAATGGCTGGAATTCAGAGATCTAATTCAATTCAAATTGTACCATCCTTAGCTATGCAATCTTGAATAGATCACTGCATTAATCTTCTTAAATGCAAAGCAAGAACAACTATACATATATATGTAGGTATACACATATGCATGTATGAGGTGTGGTCAACCAATATGGTGAATGTTTAAATAAAAAAAATTATTACAGTAAAAGACACATTGCCATTAATCCCCCTCACTTCAAACACACTTATCCCATCGTTCTTGCCACTTTCTGAAGCAGTTCTGGAAGTCCTCTTTCTTGAGTGTCTTTAGTTGCGCTGCTGTGGCTGCCTCGATGCCCTGAATCAATTCCAAATGTTTATCTTTCCTGGTCACTTTGACTTTGAGGAAGAGCCAGAGGTTGCATGGTGCCAGATCCAGTGAATAAGGTGAAGGAGGACACACCATAATGTTTTTACAATATTTGACAGAAATTGCCATATATTAGAAGCGATGTGTGGTACAGAGCACTGTCATGATGGAGGATGATTTAAGTCACACTTTAAAGCATACCTTCTCTCAGCTGTAGCTCACACTCAACTGTCTGCTCTGAACAAGCTGAAACTTGTCACACACCGTTACTAAGGTTCAATGTGCCGCTTCCCGAATCAAAGATCCCTGCCTTTCCATTGGATGGTGCTCAGCAGCAGCATTCATCGTATGTTTTGATCACACCTCGTATACACATGTATATCGTATGTATGTTATATACACATATATACATATACTACAATATACGTAGTTGTGGGTGTCCTTGTTTTGTACTT